CCTCGGCCCCGGACTATGCAACGCTTGTTTCCCAGAAGTATTGGAGTCCCTTACCCCCAGGATAGTAGATTTGCGGGCCCCTAGTGTGCCTGTTCATTGGAAAACACGCGTTCTGAGTCAGCCGAGTGGGGAAACCCAGCGCTGCTCAGACACATCTCGTGTATTTTCTTCCTAAACACGCAGCTCTGACTCCCTGCGGAGTCCTTGCACAGGGGCTCGGAAAGCGGCAGTCAGTCTCACTGGTGGTGGTGGGACCCTGAACCCCTCTCACTTTGCCTACAGCTGGTATGAATCTAACAGTTTCTCTATTGGTGATGCTCAGACTTCCACTGCTGTGTTTTTGAAGTGTGGCGCCATTGCCCAGGTTTTGGATAAATAAGACTTTTGGGAGAATGGGAGCAGCAAGTGAAATTGAATCCTGCATCCTCTGGTTTGCAATGGACATTAAAGTTTATTTGTTTAAAAGAATATTTACAGGTGGGTAATGATAAAAGGAGCTCTCCTTATGTATCTGGCCATCCAAGCTGCAGTAGTACTAATTCCTGTAAGCGTATACTAACTGCTGAAGTGTGGAAAGAATGGAGAAGAAAGATGATGATGCATTTTTTCTTCATCTAGCGAAACAGTGATTTCACGGAAGACAGGATTCAGGCAGAGTGCTGCCTCTCTTGGCCTCACATCCCTCAGCCAGCTGAGAGCTGGCTCGGGCACTTTGAGGCAAGAGTGGTTTTTGTAACAGGTACAGAGTTTCGAGGAGAGCTCTTTTAAAGCTCGCTCTTACTTGACTCGTGTCTTGCATGTAGTCATGTTGTGTAGTTACTAGAAGGTGTTCCTAGTAGAGTGATTAGGGAAATACAAAGCCTACGTAGGACTGTGGCTGCTGAACTCAAGTTTGGATACAAAAGGCACTCAGAAAGTATTGGTCAGTATTTACACGTTGCAAATTAATCTTTAGATAACTCCTCTGTGGGAGGGCAGGGGGAGGACCTAGTTGCCTGACCCTCCTCTCTTCATCACTGAGTCACTCTGAGGATGCTGGCTGCAGTATGTAAACTTTGTGATCTGAGTAAGTAGATCAAGAGGAAGGCAACCTTAAACTGTAGTCAAATGGCAGACTCGCTGTCAACTCCAGTTGCGTTACTAAGCTCTGAGGTAGGAAATGGGACAGAGTTCTGCCCTTGTGTACTCCTCATGGGGCCCTGAAAAAAGTAGATAGGGCTTCACAAGGCAGAGGCATGGGATTTGGGGTTTAGTAGGGGCTAGATGGTTTTTTAAACACAGTTCGCTTCTTGCTTATTAGGAATTTAAGACAACATTATTTAATAAGTCTCGATGCTTAGATCTTAAACAATTCAATTCATCGTTCCAGTAATGTAATGCAGATGTTACAATTAAGAAACAGCCTTTCATCAGTGGGCATCGTTATAGTTTTAATTTGTTCTGTAAATAAATGATTAAACTAAGGCTATAGTATTTGACCTGAGCCTGTATAGCAGTTGTGATAGCAAGAGTCTTGGTCACTTGGTAATATCAGGACAGTACTTCCAATTATTAGTCCAGTTTGCTCATGCAGGGTGCTCTTTTTTCACAACTGGCTTTCAGTTAGTGTTACATGCCTCAAATATTTACATTTTGCAAAATATAATCGTTAATTAGCACTTGAAGTTTAAAGATACCTGATCTGTGTTTCAGATTACTGCTCTCCCCATTCCCTTGACCATCAACATTTGAATCCCTACCCTGAAGCTTTGTATCATATCAGTTACTTTAAAAAATGAGGAAACATCACAACATTCTATCGTGCAGATACCTGGCGAGTGTCCTTAGAGCACAGAGTTAATGTGTCTGAACCTAAGGGATCACTCCAGTGCTCCTTGGATTAATTTCAGTTTTAACAGCAGAAATCAAGTCCCATGTGCTTGATTTATAGTATGTTGATAGTATTTTTCCTTCTCCTTGTATTCCTCCCGTATTAATTGACCACGGTACTTAAGAGGGACAGAAGGAAAATGTGTTTTGTTGTAAGGGGCACCAGAGAAAGGTGTTGTGCAAACATGCTGGCATAGTACTGCAACAGGCTGCAGAGCTCATGTGCGTGGACACCTGCAGCAGCGGGTTCAATCCCACAAAAATCCTTCTTTATCCTGATAATAGCAGCATCTTACAATGTTGCAAGGCTGAGGGATGAAGTACGTTAGTCTGCTCTGTTGCTGGAATTCAGAAACTCGTGGTTTTGTATTCAAAAGTGCATGTGAAGTCTGAAGCCCAAAGAGCATCTGCTTTTTACACAAACGTCATTCAAGGTTGGCAGCTGAGACACAGTGACCTTGGCTACGATATGGAGATCTCCAAGTGGAGCAGAACTCTCGGCTTTCCTGTCAGACTTCCCTACAATCTGTGCTGTTAATCAGACACTGCGATAACACTTCTTCAGAGCTTGATTTTGGTGAATTTATTTAACCTTGTACATGGCAGGAGTTGCACAGAGCTAAATAGCAACAGAATGACATTAACTTGACCCTCACCTTGGAGAGCTGCCGAAGGAACATGTCCTTGTCAGTGCACAGAGATGGCTGTGAGCTCTGGGACCAGCAGAGCGGAGAAAAGTCAGGGGAAAAGGGTGTCTTGCCAACTGCTCTGCCAGTTTCCTCCCTTTGGAAATATTGCCAGAGCTGACACGTTGAAGGTGAAGTAAATACGAATAAAGCTGCCATTAATTAAAATTCCTTAGGGCTTCAGTGGATTAATTAAATGGTATTTCAAGATGTTAATTGTGGTGATGTATTACCATCATCCTACAGGGCTCAGGAGAAACTAGCATGAAGTGGCACGCAAATGCTGTTTGCCACACTCCAGGAGGACTTCAGACTGCGACAAGAGACAGTACCTTAGCAGCCAGCGGGGGAACAGGGAGCCTGTCCTGAGAGAGAAAGCAGGCTTACGTAGCCTGTCTGGAGAGAGATGGCAGGTACGGTGGGCAGGGGAGAAGCGATGGCTGCCTGTGAATATGTAAAGGGCGGAGTAGCACGTAATAAAGAAGGAAAATGGTTTAAGCTGAGGGGATAGCATTGGTGTGAGAACAAATTTATTCAGCTGGCCGTGACAAAGTTTAGTTTGGAAGGTGGGTAGTTCCTAGCTGTAACTGTGTTTTGGAGAAGCCTTTGGAGCTGAGACGCTGGGTACCAGGTGGATTCAGCAGAGGAAGCTCGATCTGCCTGAAAGGCCCATCTGATGCAGTGGGAAAAGGCACAGCTACCCTGAGAGTCTCTGCTGCTTTTAGTTTTCTAAAGCCCATTCCATTCTGATGATTTGTCCATTTCTTTGCTAAGTAAGTTGCAAGAGGGGAAAAAAAGGTTAAATTGCAGCAGTTTGGGAGATGGATGAGAAGCCACAGAAAGTGCTTCCTATATAGAAATTGAAATGGGGAAAAAAAAATCCCCTGCCACAGGGTCAAGTTGATTTCTGCAGATGTCTATGAAGAGTTGCTGCTGAAGATGGTCTCTTTCCATGATACCGGCTTACCATATAGGCTCAGGTGTAAGTTACCTTCAATACTTCCCTCCCATCCCTCTTCTCTCAAGCACGTTTTGCCCAATATTCCTGGAAACGGAACTTGATTCGCAGGTTTGTAGCCTTCATCCAGCCTCACATCTGTCAGCAGTTAGCTCCTTTCATGGAATTTTAATGAACTGTATGCTTTTAAGAGAGCATTTAGATACTTCAGCAGAAAAGCAAGAGTCAAAGCCCCTCTGCACTCAGCCTGTCCAAATGAAAGCATATAACTGTACCATTAGGAACATTTAATCCCTTTTGCTCACTTCTGAAGTCAGAGCTGCACATATTCCTAATTTTTTCCCACCCAGTCAGTGTCACGAGAGGGCGAGCCAGAAAAACAATTCCCCCACCCCACGCACAAGCCACTGTCTATATTGAGATCTGAATTTTCCAAGGGAGCAGATGGGATCCTGACATCTGGATCTAATCCAGACTCAAATTCCAGGCTTAGATCTGAGAACTTCCACCTCCGGTCCTGAGACCAGCAGTTTTTAGAGAGAACTTAGTTTACCTTTTAAGGCAAAATTTGAGGGTTGCGATAGTAGCTGCATAGTGAAAATTCTTCCCATGCTGAATTTCTTTAGCAGATTTTCCTCATTTGGATCCAGTGTCTTCTTTATGTGACAGAACAGGAAATCTCATTTCTCTCTAGGACCCTCTAATCGGTAGAGAATTTGACCAAGCTGGAAGAGCTGCTGAATGCTGAGGCACGTGTGACCTGTTGCAGAGCGACTAAGCAGCACCCTGTTTCACAGACGCAGGCCAGGCACGCTTCTTACCCCATCTCATACAAACAAGTGTCGAGTTGTTTTTCTCCCCAATGTGTAATGGATAGCTTTTAAAATTCATGAACTGCCGGCGGGTCCTCGCAAGGGTGTTGGGTCAGGACACTTTGCCTGTCTGCCGGGCCCCAGGTGCTGCCCATTGATGCAGAGGAGTTTGGTCTCTTGGCAAAGTCCCATTACAGGGGCATGACTCATGCTCAGCTCGGACAGCGGGAGCTGTTGCCGCCCTCATACAAGGTACCCTGCCCTTCTACTGAAGGGCACTACTCCCACACCGGGGCTGCTGCGGTCTACAGCCCATCTGATTAACACATCCAGCAGTCATTTATCTTAATTCCAGAATATCTCCCTGACATCCCTCCAGTTGCTTCAGATGTGGAAAATCGCACAATAGTCTTTTTTTTCATCTTGCATCCTTGAGTTTGTCTTGCTTTGTGCAGCACACAGCAGGAAATGATACATGAATCTTTCCAGCTACTGTGAGCTTTGCTGCATTTGCAATGATTTGCATTCACACCCTTGTTTGCTCCTCTCTCACACAGTTTCCTCCTTCTCTTAGAAAGAACCAGTAGACTCCAACCAGTATATTTTTAGTTAGGATTATTGCTGGGCTTCAGCCTGTCATTTTTCTTGCATATCTCAGCCCTCATTTCTCCTCATTAGCTACTCAGGCAGAGAAACCACCTTTTATGTCCAGCTTGGGAGCTTGAACTCTCTACGTGGTCACCAGAAAGCAGAAGTACCTTAGAAAAAGTGAATCTGAGCACTTCCTGTATCAAGGTGTGAAAGGGTGGGGAAAGGACTTAGCTCTGAAGTCAGAGCTCTCTACAGCTGTCTATAACTGGAGTTTCCAGAAAGGAATTAAGTAGATAGCCTGCTGCTCTCTATATAGGAAGGGCAGCTGACAGAGCAGAGAAAGAAGTGGGTGTCGTCTTTGTCTGAATTTAAACACTCCAGGCCTAGAGAGACACTCAAGTCATGTTTATATAGTAAAACACCTTTGCTACAGCAGGTAGCTCTAGTGAGCTCCTACTGCTGCTCATATCTGCGTTAGTGTGGGCATGGGCAGGAAGGTGGAAGTCAGAGCAGAGGAGGATTGTAAAAGTCCTTGAAAACAAGAAATCAACCCCCAGCAGTGAAAAATGCTTTGCTGGAGCCTATGGGCTGTCTCTTTTAAAGCAATGTCAGTGTCAGGACTTTTCTGTCAAGCAGAAGATTGCAGGAAATCAAGGGCGTACCTTGTTCTCTCCCTCTCGCCCTGTAAAATTGCCCTGGTTTGGGCTGGGATAGAGTTAATTTTCTTCATAGCGGCTTGTATGGGGCTACGTTTTGGATTTGTGATGAAAATAGTATTGATAACACAGGGATGTTTTAGTCATTGCTGAACAGTGCTTGCACAGCATCAAGGGCTTTTCTGTTTCTCACACTGCCCTGCCAGCAAGTAGGCACCCCCTCGTGCAAGGGGGTGCACAAGAAGTTGGGAGGGGACGACCCCAGCTGACCAAAGGGATATCCCACACCATATGACATCAAGCTCAGCAATAAAACTGAGGGGTGGAGGTTGGCTGGGGCTGCTGTTGCTCAGGGACTGGCTGGGCATCGGTCAGTTGGTGGTGAGCAATTGTTTTCTTTTGCATCACTTGTTTTTCTTGGTTTTGATGTTTGTTTTTTTTTTCCTGTCGCTTTTCTCCTCTTTTTTAATTATGAAACTGTCTTTATCTCAACCCACATGTTTTCTGACTTTTACCCTTCTGATACGCTCCCCCACCCTACTGGGGGGGAGTGAGCGAGTGGCTGTGTGGGGATTAGCTGCCTACTGGGGTTAAACCACGACAAAGAAATCATCTCTCTGACTTGTATACCTGTCCCATGGGCCCGCCACAGACACCTTACAAGGCACTAGCATATTCAAGTGTCCTAACTCCTCCCCAGTCACCCCGGACTCAGTTTGACACAATAAGTTAAATCCTTTGTGTAAATTGATGTAGTTTTTTTTGTCAAAACGGAGATTTGCTGACTAGACAGGTTTTTAATCAGTATTATTTCCTGCAGATGTACATGCTACCTTTCTTTTCCCAGGTGTAGTAATACAAATAAGATTGCCTTTTCAGCCTGGAAATACGGATAAAGGCATCCTGTGAAGTCCTAATAGTCTCTGATCTCTTTTGGGTGGGTGAAAATGATAGGATTTCAAAAGGCTGTCACCTTAAAATGTCTGTTGTAGGTACAGTACACCTACAAGCAAGGCTAGTTGTTCTGGTTTGTTTCAGCAAAGGCTTATTCTTCTCTTATGCATCCGGTATTTTAATTTCTTCTGCAAGGATCAATATTTCAGTGAAGCAAGGAGAAGGAGAAGCATTTCAGAACTAAATACCTGTTGATAACATGAGAAGCTGGGGGAAAAGCCCCCTCCTGACTAGACCCAAGCTGGGAATTCCTGTGTGGGCGTTATCCCGTGAATGAGTACCCAGTGAGGCAACAGGACTCTTCTGTTACCTGGGTGGCTTTTCTTCTTATCCAGCTATTCCATAGCATTAGATATTGCTGGTCTTAAGACCAGTCTTAAGAACTGTCTTGGAGAAAGCAAGCAATAAACAGAGGGAAGTATAAAGCAGTTTTGATCTTTTATTGTTTCCATCAATGGTCATGGAAACTTTATAGTTCAAAAATAGTTGTTATAGTTAATACTAGTTGCTATAGTTGTATAGTCAATTAGAATTAGCTCCTTGAAAGCAACGATTCAAAGCGTTGAGAGGGAAGTGGCCAAGCAGTAGAGCAGAAGGATGCCTCACATCTAAGTGGAGGTGTTCCAGACATGAAAATAGCATGAATGTGTGTGGCAACAGAGGATATGAAATATGAAAGGGCCAAACCCGCTCCTGTGAGTGGGAGGAGAGTCTGTGTAACACCACAGCCGGTGTGCCACAGCAGAAAGCTGTAAGGATGAGCTACAGCCTTCTTGGTGTCCAGGTCCTTCCTCTGCAAATCTTTCCATCTCCCAGTGTAAGTGTTGGTGCGTTCTGCCCATGGGGTTTGCTGTGCTATTTTGCAATAGCTCTTGTTGCTTAACCTTTGAGGTGCAAGATGTATTATTCCTCCTCGTGCTCTAAAGATTATAGATAAAGTTAGAGGGTGGTGATAAGGTATAAAAATGAGAAGTGTGTCAGCAATAGGGAAGAAGGGGACAGTGCTGAAATATTGAGGGAGGAGATTAGCACATCATATCTCCAAATCAGAACTTGGGAGCTGCAGACTAGAGAAACTCTGTGACATATTCAGGTTATTTGAGTATATGAGGCTTCTATTCCTTGTTTGCCTTTGCACTGAACTCTTCAAAAAGCTGGCAAGTGCTCTCTTTGCACTGTCTTACAAAGCCTAAGTCACGCAAAGCTCTGGGCTCTACTTTCAAGGCTGCTGGGCCACTCTGCCTGCCAAGCAGCGCAGGCGGTACCAGAAGGAGTGCAAGTGAGGACCAGCCAGGACAGCTGGGATGGGAGGTTTCTTGGGGTACTGTGACCCAGCTGGCAGCCTTTTCTGCATGTAGTTTATTTGACCTGATGGTTTTGCAGCTGCTTTGAACGCCATTCCAGCCGAGATCTACGGGGCCAGAGGACTCAAAGGAGCGACT